TTTCCGAAGCTGTCCGATGCCATCATTTTGATCATTCTGGAGCAGACGCAAGGGTCGATGCTTGTTGTTAGAGCAACTGAATGCAGGGCTTTCTTGAGAAAGGGTTCAGGTATCTCGACTCAGGCAGGATTCAGGCAGTGAGGGTTTGCCTTTGATCACGCTCATGTTCGTCTGCAAGTGCATGCGTGCAGGAGGCTTCCCTAGAAGTGTAACTTGTTGGGGTTCCCTTTTCGAAGCTTGGAAGCCGTGTAGTTCTGAGGCTGTCAGGTCCACTTGCAATGCTCATGTTCTGCCGTAGCTTTGTGCTTTGAAGTGACTTTTCTGCGATTATATCCTGATTTTAGGATGTTGTACAACGCCTGTAGCGGCGCCTGCATTCCGCTGCCCAACATGGGCCCTTGCTCTTCGTCTTTTGCGCCACCTGCGGCGCCGTATGCTCCAATGTTTGTGCCTCTTCCCATGCAGCAGGGCATGCCACCACAGCAAGGCATGTCCATGGTTCCGTATGGAGGTCGTAACGACACACGGGACAGAAGGCATTCCAGGCCTCGGTCTCACCGTCGTCGCTCGGAGCCACGCTGTCGCTCCAGAGGCCCCAGGAGGACGAGCCGACGCTCCAGGCCTCGCTTCTCCGCCCTTGGCCGCGGACAAGCCCGCCACCGCCGACATTCACACCATCGTCGCAGCCCAAGCAGAAGCGCATCCAGGCGACCAAGCTCCCCGGGAGCGTGCACGCAGTGTTTCCGTGCCGCAGGAGCGCGTGCAGTTGCACCCTCCGACAGCCCTCCCCGTGCACCTATTGTTTTGGTCTCTGGACCTGGCATAGTTGGAGACCGCCCCTCAGCCGCGATTTTGTCCAGCCAGACGGCTCAACAGCCACAACAGCCGCCACAGCCGCCACCAAAGCATTCGTGGCCTACATCAACACCTGCAAGTCTGGACATTGCCTCCGGCGCTTGGCCACGCCAAGGAAGTGGCCAACCTCTTCGCCCACCACCTCCACCACCGCCTTTGCCACGATTCCGGACTACACCTACTTACAACCCACCTTCAACTTCATACCTACATGGACGTCAACAAACTTATCATCAAAGCTGGAGAGACACCAGATCCTACCTCGGCAACATCGCGGACCACAAGGACAGGGTCAAGGCTTATGTTGAGCTCACTGATCAAGCCCCTTGCCCGTCGATCTTGCAGATCGTGACGAGTTATCGGCCCGCATCCATGAATCCGAGCCAAGCATCCCGACAGCCCTGTGCACTGAACTTGCCCACATGTTTTTGGCATCGGGAACTGCAACCAGCACTCTGGAATTGCAGCATATCATGAGGTTTCAAGTGGCAGATCTGTGGGATTGCATTTGTTTCCCCCTGACCACCCCTGGTGTCCCTGCTTTTCAACGAAGGCTCCTTCCCCGCCTAATGCTTCTACGGACAATGTGCACTCGGGGACCTGGACCTTCATAATCTTAAGCAGGTGGTGGATCGCCAATTGCGCATATCCAAAGGATTCCAAGGAATCCTTATCGCCGGCATTGTTCGCACTGCCAAAATGCATGCCAAAATCACTTGGAGTGATGCCACCGAGGAAGCCCGTCTCACATACCGACGAGGAGTAGTACGAACCCCCACTCGGTGGGCCTTTCACCCGGCACATGCCCACATCAAGGCAGTGATCGTTCCTTTGCCACTATAAGTGCTTTCGAGGAGCAACAAGCTTGCCCGCCTTTGTGCATTCGCCCTTTGCTGAACCCTTCAAGTGTCGTGCATTGCAGTTGCAATTATACTTTCTTGTCTTGACAACACGGACCGCAGCCGCACTCCACCACCTCGCTTTGGCAATCCTTCCAACATGATGGGAGGACATTCCATGGGAAGCAACAGGTTCCCACCTGTGCCGCCTCCTCCTCCCTTGCCTTTATCTTCCTTTGCACACGGGCACTGGCCCTCCGAGGCACTGGCCCACAACATGCTACATTGCAGCACGCGTTCTGCCAATCTAGGGTTTATGCCAGGCTTAGCTCGTGCAGTGTTTCTAAGGCCTTACGGGGGATTGCCTCCACAGCCCTCACCTTCAGCTCCTATGCCCAACATGGAGAGTTCGCCTGTCTCGAGTGGCAAAGCTACACCGCCTCTGCCTACAACGACAGCTCCTGTGCCCACTGCCCCTTCTGCCACTACTCTGCCGAGGACTGGATTGCAGACCCAGATGTCCTCGACAATCGTCGCAGCATTGGCAACCGCACTTTGTCCAGGCATGTCACATCCACCGCCTGGACCAAGGAGCCAGGAGTTGGGGTTTGAAGTCAAGCTTTTGCATCCTTCCATGTTCTTGTATCAGAACTGGAACAGCTACTGGCTTCGGTGGATAGCCCATGGCAAAGAAGCATACTTCCTTGTTGCTCGCACCGAGCCGGAAATGGTGCTCGTTGGGGAGATACTTGCACAGCTTCGCACCCACAATGTCGACATTGATGCTGCTGCCATCAATCTCGCTGTGCAGACTCAAAACACACAAGCTAAGAACATTGCCACAAAAGCCCTTGCTCAGCATCTTGTTGCTGAATTGCAGAAGCCTGTGCCTGTGCAAACTGACACAGAATCACATGATCGCATTCGCGAACTTGAGACCCATCTAGGTGTCTTGCAGCAAAAGCTTCAGCAGAAGGAAGCTGCTGCTTCCAGCGCACCCGACCCCACGCAATTCCCCAAAGACCCCTGCAGGCCAGACGTGGGGTGTGCCGCATTCTCCGCTCGGTTCTGCAGAACCTGCCAGTGCAAAAGCCCCTGCTGCCACACTAGGTCAGCCTTTGCGGCAGCTGCCACTGTCTTTTAGCCCCAACAATCAAGGGCCCATACCTGCTGCTCCTCAGCCAGACTGCATCCTAAAGCCCCCCACCGAGGGCTCCACATGGCTTGTCAATAACTTGCCTGCCAAGTTCCAGGACAAGGAGCTGCGTACTTGGGTCACTGGCTTGCCATCATTGACCGTAAGAAAACTGAACTTGATGAATGGATCAGTGAGGTTGAGCATTACATCAATACTTTAGACGACGAAGACAAGGCCCTTACCACCAAGATGCGCCGCATAGGTGTAGTTTGGGGCATTCCCCTCACTGTCATTTCTAAGCTTCAGAAAACTGCCCTCGCCAGAATGATGGCCGTGGCCTCCTTTATGGAAAGGTGACTGAAATCGCCTCGACAGTCGACAGCACCTCCGCTTTGTTCGGACCCCGCTCCCTTCGTAAGATTTTGCAAGAACTGTCCCCTTTCATTCTGCACTCCGATTTCCAACTTTTTCGTCTTACACGGTTTTGCGTTGCTCGACTGGCATTGGATGAAGTACACACAAGTCTTTCAGATTTGCACGTACTGAAGGGTGTCTTCAGAGCAACTGGACTCCAGCCTGGCTTTCCCACTTTTGCACAGTTTTGCCGTCAGTCTGTTCTGCACCTGCGCTGCAGCCCATTAAAGCGTTTTGCCAAGCTCTACTATGTCGGCAGCACAGAAGGGTGGACCTCCCTTCGCGAGGCATCACGCTACCGAAAATATAAACAAGTGCAGCAAGACAAGCTTGTCTCAGCTGAACTCTGCCGCTACTGGGGCCGAGACTCTAGCTTTTGGAAATGGGTCGCCGTACCCATCTCCTCTGCAGTCCCTCCAAATCTGCTGCGAGGTCGCGAGCAGGCCATGATTCAAACTCTCCAACCGCCCCTCAATTTTCCCGTCATTGCACGATGGTTTTGCCCTTAGAAAGGCATCATTCGCCCTCCCAATGCTTCCCTCGCCAAACAGATTGGATACCAACACATCCTACGAAAACGTCGTGGAAACTGATGCTTGCACAGTCCTCACGTGGACTGTTATCCACCTAGTGCAGTACATGTCTAGGACCGAAGGATACCATCTTGTGTACAGGAAAACTCGCAGAGGTATCTCGAACCTCCACCAGAGCATAAGGAACGGATCATTCGACTTTAGCTCAGTTGCTGAGAAACAGGAACATTTGCTCGAAGTCTTCAGTGACAGCGATTGGAAACAAAAGCTCTAGGAAATCAACGTCATCAGGAACGATGTTTCTCGATGGACAGGTCATATATACATTCTCAAGGAACCAGAAAAGCGTGGCATTGTCTTCAGGTGAAGCAGAGTACTATGCAGGAGCTTCAGCAGCATCGGACAGCATCTTGCTACAGGAAGCAGTCCAGTTCCTAACAGGAAAAAGGTGCCAGGTGAACTTGTATCTGGATTCATCAGCAGCCAGAGGAATTATCACTAGGCAAGGTGTAGGAAGAGTGAAGCACTTGCAGATTAGGACCCTGTTTTTGCAAGAACTCCACAAGCAAGGAACCCTCAGCGTGCATCCTGTAGGAACCAAGGAACACACAGCCAACATAGGTACCAAGCCGGGAGAGGCCTTAAACAAAAACTGAATAGGCATCAAAAAAATAAGTAGGCATCAAAAATACTAAATAGGCATCAAAAAAACTACG